AAGTTAGACCAAAATAATTACAATGATAGGCATTCCACAAGGTATTGTTATATAACATCTTACAGTTTGGTTTGCGAGTTGCAGTGTATAGCTATCGACGCGGAAACAGTACTTAAAGCTCACTAATATTCATACTTTTTCGAACATAGACCTTTTCGTGAAACGTTTAGTAATTTAATGCTTCACCTTTTTAATGCGAAGAGGTTGAGAGCTGTACCAAATATTAACCCTCGAGGTTTGTAAAGGTTTGGAAACAGCAAGAACTCTCGTAAACTCCGGTTTATATTAAATCGCAGGGAACAGATCGAAGTCCAACTCCGAACATTTTAGAATCGATAGGCATGGTCAATCGTGTTATTGGAAAGATTGCTTTAAAAAGAGCAATTCAACTTTTAAATTCGCTTTTTCTTAGGAAGATAGGAATGCCTAAGTAATTTCGAATCACTGGCAAGCTAGTTTAACAACTATTATTAGTTTTATAACTGGCTTTCCAAACAAGTATCATGTGAATATTTGCTTATTCATATTCCATTACGCCAAATCTCGTTTGGCCGGCCAAAGATTTAAATCAAATGATTCTGTCCTTTACATACTTAAAAGAATACCTACCTTCATGTTGCTACCCAAAACGTGATGATGACTCGCATTGTTATCAAATGGAACCATTTTGCAATTTGTGACTCCAAAGAAAGCAATCCTGGATTTCCTCACAACTTGCGTTTGAATTGTAGCCAAAAGAAAGTTTCATTCGTTCCAACACGCGAATTTTATTTCAGAGCATAAGATTACAATTGCAACGCTAAAAGACGTGATTAAATACAAGTAACGAAGGAAAACAAATGCAAAGGAATCGAAAGCGTCATCACGATTGAGGAAAAAGATCACAAAACAAAGACAATGACCAATTCGCGCCTTTTAGGGTAAGGAACAAGAGAAATTTGACACGTCCAAGTGTCAAACCGGAAGAAGTCAGTGCACAGACTCGCGTCACTTATTGATCAGATAAAGGTATTCCCGGTTACCAGATATTTTCTGTTGAACAGAAGCGAAGAAACCAGAGAATTTAAGATTATTCTTGAAAACTAGCTGATTTCTGAAAACTAGCCGAAACGACGTCAGGTCACATTCCCGTAATAAGATAAACTTACAAGTTCTCATGAACTCCATACCAGACTGTGTCGGAAATCGCGATAAAATTAGTAGTACCATAAGGTCCATTTTAAGTAACAGCGGAAGTTCTAAACTATTACGAAATTGAAACTATATAGGTTTATCTCCTTTTTCTGCCTATATAATGAGGAAAATTCGCACGTACTTTATTAGCTCTCGAGCGAAGAACGAAGAAGGCGAGCGGTAAGAGTGCCTAGATCAGAGAAGTAAGTGAACATAGCTGTGAGTCATATCATTCCTTGCCGCTACAATTCTTCTGAGGAGTTTTGATGCTAAATTTTCTTTTAATCGTAATTTTTTTGTTTTGGTTTTTGTTTTGCAGCCTTCGTGAATAACATTGCAAAGAACACCAGCAAAAATACAATGACGGTCATGATACGACAAGGAATAGGTATGTAAAATCTAGATGTTTGGTATAAAATTTTTTCAGAGTTCTGTTCAATTCCATTTTCAATCTCAATCACCTTGTTAAATCCTTTCATTGTAAAAGTTTCCTTGTGGTGACCAAACTCAGTTTGAAATTAGCTTCTGCCATAGGAATGGCGAGTCAGTGTCTAGTTGGCAGATGATTAGCGGGCAATTTTCTATGAAAACCACGCGATCCTCCCGCGCCATCCTAAATAGTTGTAGTTTATCATTATGCGGCAGTACGACATCTAGATACCCCTGCCCAGAATGAAAACAAAACTATAGCTGGGATTTGGCGATAAGCCGTGGCCAGCCACAGCGTCGACTAGGATCTATATCTACTATCATTGTTATCATTACTATCATTATCATTATTATAATTAATATTAGTAGTATTATCATTATTATTATTACTATTATTATTATTATCATCATTATAAGTTTTACTGCAGAATGACTTCTTACCTTCAGGTTTTGCTACGCTGTTTGTGGCACTTTCTGTGACTTTTCAAATTACACCATCAATGCATGCAGCCCCCATAGCTTGTACAAGGTTGACAGGTAAGATTTTCTACTCTCGTATAAGCGTTGATATCCCTTATTCATTTTCATAATTATGTTAATTCCCTTTTTGTACAGCTAAGAACTGTGCTGAGCTGTACACATGCGGCCAAACGATCAGCGGTGTTTACACAATCGACCCAGATGGTTCTGGTGCCTTTAATGTATATTGTGACCAAACAACAGCTGGTGGGGGTTGGACAGTGTTTCAGAAGAGATTGGATGGCTCTGTTGATTTTAACCGCACCTGGAGTGACTACAAACGCGGCTTCGGTAACTTTATTGGTGAACTTTGGCTCGGACTGGACAAGATAAACCGCCTGACAGCAAACAAGACGAAGAACATGCTGCGAGTTGATCTGGGAGTAGAAACTGGCGAAACTGTTCACGCTGAGTATAGCTGGTTCGGGATTGGAAACGAGGCAGATGACTACAGGCTGCACGTTGGCATTGTTACAAGTAAGTGAGAGGTTTTTTTAACGTTTGCTCTTTTGTTGTTTTTGTTTTTGTTTCTGTTTTATTTTTTTTGTTTTTGTTTTGTTTTGATCAGCAGGGATTTGCTAAAGCAAAGGCATAGAAAAAACCAGGAAAGATTTATTACTCGACGTTTCGGGGTCATCGTGACTCCATTATCAAGAGACTAGTTTAAAAAACATGCAAATAAGTCTAATTTATGCTATTCTTGTACCTTTCCTTATTTGCATGTTCTTTAAACTAGTCTCTTGATAATGGAGTCACGATGACCCCGAAACGTCGAGTAATAAATCTTTCCTTGTTTTGTTTTGTTTTTTTTTTTCATATTACTTCCCTCTCATAGCTAAAGACCTCCTTCCTTTATATATAGAGAGAAAACAATTGATGAACGCGGCTCGAGCAAAATATAAAAAATGAAATCATTTATCTAACTTGTATGCTGTAAACAAAATATTGATGCTTTGCTCTACTTCGTTATTGAAGATTAAAACGACCATTTGTGACTATTATGGTAATCGAAATAGTTTCATTGAAAAACGTGTTCCCATTGTTTGAATTGAGTTCTGTTCTGTTTTTGTTGCTGTTGTTGTTTTTTGTTTGTTCGTTGTTGCTTGTTTGTTGTTCTTCACTTTTGCAGTAAACAACAGCTTTAATGCTTCTTAGGTGTTCTGCTGATTTTGAAAATACGCTAATTTCTTTATTTTTATTTTGGAACAGATAGGAATTTTTTGGATTCCCTCGGTCCTCACAGAGGCTCCGCTTTTGGTACCTGGGATAGCGGTCCTGCCTATTGTGGTCAAGAAAGAGGCGGAGGCTGGTGGTATCGTTCTTGTTCAGTTTCGTCAAATCTCAACGGAATTTATTCGCGTTGCGGGAACGTAACCATTGGCAATATCTTCTGGTCAAGCTTAGGTCCACGTCCACGCAGTGCAGCTATCACTGCTCCCACATCGACTGAAATGAAAATTAGACCAGTGGGTTTTTAGTAGAACGTTCTTTATAAGGGTATAATGATTTTCACTTGGTCTGATCGTTTGTTTTGGAGGTGATAAGCAAAGTATGACTGGCCCATTTATATCCATCGCTGATTACGATTGTGATTTTCTGATCAGTGTTCACTTGGCCTTGCTCAGTGAATTTAAATATAGTCCTGTGGGGAAACACCATCTTGAATTGTTTCCCACTGTAAGCTTTGTAAGCTATGATTTGAAAATGCTACAAGTCAAAATCAGTTCGCTTGCAGTCGGAATCAAAATAAACTTTAAACTAGTTTTATTGTATCGTACTCAGTGATTTTCGCTCGGGTTTAAAGTCTACAATGATGAAATTTACATCTGCGTAATCGATGCTGTTTTAAACATTAACGAGTAGTTTCTACCACGAATCTTTTACAATATGCTGATAAGAAAAATGACGACGCATAGACTCAACCATAGTCTTTCGCTTTTAATTAGATTTTAAGAGAATACATCTTGGCCCTTTTCATTGGTATTCCTACTGTTTGATTCTTAGCAGACTTTATAATAGGAGAGAAGCTACATCCTACACATTCTTTTAAATGAAATGAAAACGATGTTCTAACAACTTGAAAAGAATGTTTCATAGGTAATCCTTCATCAGGTCAAGGTTAATTCATAAGGATTTGTTTACATATTGTAACGTTATGAGCCATTAGCTGGGGTTTATATTTTTCCACTTTTTATAGTTTTTTCCTTTTTTGATAACTTTTAAAACTTTGCTATTCTAGAGCTATCAATAAAACCACTGAAGATGATATTACCAAAAGAAACTTTTAGATATGTGTGTTTTGTATCATCTCACGGATAAAATGAAGACTGTTCTACATCATTTATGTATTTATATCGATAGCCCGATGATCGTCCTTTTCGCCACCCACCCACTGTTAGCAAATCTTGTCCTATCTGCAAAGATCTTTTCAGTGTCTGCATATGGCATCGACCAATCATACATATCTATACCAAAATAAAAATAATTGTTTGCCGGAAAAAGCTAATCCATATCAGGCATATCCTTTAGATGCGGTTTTGAGCTGCTACCCTCAGCAAGTTTTGTTGAAACACTCGGCTCCCCCCTCAAGTACAGTCAAGCTTTTATTAAAAGCAGCCCATTTTTCTGAGTGCGTTTCTGTACTTGAAATGGTCAATTATGACCAGACTTGGGAAATTTATATTTTCGCCTACCCTCGGAATAGGCGTTTGCATCCTACATGGAGGAAAAAAAAAAAACTGACAACAAAAAATATCGGTAAATCTGAGCTGATAATAAATGATGAACTCTTCATCGAAATGTAAGCGGCTGGTAAGGAATGCTTACAATTGCACCAAGAAACGAAACGGTGACCACCACTAGCCACCGACAGCGACATCGAGGCAAATAGTTGATTTAGTATATACTAAAACGGTGAAATGATATCAGGCATATCCAGCGCGCAATGATCGGAGTTAAATTGCAAATGATATTCGGAGTTATGTACCCAATCAGAGCGCACCATTCACGTTATCCACTGCTTTCAGTATATAGGGGAATCCTTGTTTACAGTATTTGCCTCATTAGCATAAGCAATTAAGTTTCTGATGGTGCTAAAGATAAATCAGTTCTGAATATCGAAAGGTCAAAGTACGATTAACTCGGCCAATGAATACGAGCCTGATGCATTGAATACTTTCTGTGCAACACGGGTTTAAAAACTCAAAATTTTACATAGAATTCATGAGCTCATTAGCGCTTTTGCCACCCAGACATTTTGCAGTTTTTGATGAACTATTTCTCCTTGAATATTACACCCAAAGAGCTAGAAAATTCACCATGTACTAAGGTTTTCTAGCTTTTTAGCTGCCTGAAGTCAATTTGTATCTAACATGCTTCCTTATTTACGCAAAGACGTATGCAAATGAGCAAAAATGTAAACAATGACGTCAGCATGAATCAGCCTATACTATCAGTTGAGCACCAGCTTCTCAACTTAAGTTAACACTACATAACTTTGCAAAAAAACAAAGCAGACAAACAAACATAAACTGCACCAAACAAACAAAAACTGTAACAAACAAAACAGAAAAAAAAAAAAAAAGAAAAAGCACAGGGAGAACGAAGAAAAGTTTAGTCGGCTGTTTCCTCTCCACGCCTGAAACGAGAGAAGCCATTTGAGTTCTTTAGCAAAAGTATTTACTAAATAAAGATTTTGTCTGAGCATGTGGCCCGCCACAGGGTAATGTCTACTGATTACTATAGTGTGATTTTGATTGAGGTATTTTTTCTGATAAGATTTGCAGCAAACTGCTGACGTTTGTTTGTCTTAATCGTCGACGGTGACTGGAGCACAATAAGACATGTTATTCCCATACCGTTTTTATTGAGAAATTTTGAATGCAGGTGGGACCAGATAACACCTCTGTTAGCCAATTGTTGGAATATTTGCTTTATAAGCTATTCTTTCAAGGCATAGGTTGTTGAAACTCTCTTGCGTCCCATTATTGACATTGGTAACCCATCCCAAATTGAGTCAGCAGCATACGCTGTCCTCACAAATTTGCGCCTGGAGGACCAATGATGTAGTACGGTATTACAAAGCTATTTAACAACAAGAAAACTCCTAATTTCTCTTTTTTTTTTCAGAGCTTTGAAGATTTATTTGTCAACACTATCACCAATTAATCATGGATTCCAAGAGTGACATCGATAACCAAGTCCAAATACTGACTCTGCACTATACCTGTCCTCACGAGTTTGAGCTTAGAGGGCCTATGATGTAGTATGGAATTACAAGGCTATTTAAAAACAGGAAAACTAGTAATTTCTCTATTCTTTTTTTCATAGCTTTGAAGATTTATTTGCCGATATTGTCACCATTTAATCATGGATTCCAAGACTGACATCGATAACCAAGCCCAAATTCTTATTCTAAGCTACAACTGACGTAGTTTTCATGAACTGGAACGTCTTGAAACAAATCAGAGAACAGCCCTCGAGATTTTTCGTTGTTCAAACAAGTATGCTACCTTTCAATTTCACAAAAGTTGGAGTGTCTAGCCCAAACATTTTTTAAAGGCTGATAGTTTCTAAAGAAACTGTTTGGGGCTGCGTCGGTGAGGGTAACGAAATAATTTGAATATATCAACAAAGTTGAAATGGTAAATTGACCACCGTTACGATTATAAAAGCTGACGTTTCGAGCGTTAGCCCTTCGTCGGAACGAATGGAGGAATTATGGGTTGTGTGTGCTTTTAAAGGCGGAAAAGGAGCTACGTAATTGGTGGGAACATGGCAACGAGAAAAACAGGAATAAATTAGTGGAATGAAAAGCGTTCGTTGATACCTGTGGGATGTAGATTGCCGGTTTGAAAGATGAGCTTTTGTTCAAGTTTTCCGTTCATGAGCTTTTTCTCCTTGTTTTCCGACGACTGTATCGGCGCCACCTCCTCTACCAGAGAGGAGCTCACTTAATTCATAAAATTCATAACCGAAGTCAATTCTTTTCACCCGGCTCTGAAATATACCTGGGGAATTTCTGACAATTCTTTATCCTTTTTAGACATCAAAGTTTCAATTGAAGGCAACGGTTTATGCACTAGTGTGTATTACAAACCTACAGACTCGCATAATTACTTGTTATATTCGTCTTCGCATCCATCTCACGTTAAGAATTCCATTCCTTTTTCTCAGTTTCTAAGACTTCGTCGTTTATGTAGTGATGACTCTGATTTCCACCACAAATCAGAGTCAATGTGCCAGTTTTTCGATAAACGTGGTTACCCTGTTTCTGTCGTTCAAGCGGGTTACCACCGCGCCCAACTTATTGATCGACATTCAGCACTACAAACGTCGCATAAGGAAGATTCCGACCGCATTCCATTCACTCTCACGTTT